TTAATGATAGCAGGAGAAATACCCTAAAGACGCAGGAAAAGGTAACTCTTTTTTTTTTTTTTTTTTTTTTTTTTTACCCAGATTGTGACAGGTGAAATACTCCCGGAAAGGCATTGCCATTTTAAGAAGAGAGAGCTCAAGGCCCTGGAACATGAGCTAGTTTATTCAGCACCTAATATTTGTAACCAAATTTAATTTTTGCAGCCCCTGTTGTACGATCTCGCCAGATTCAAGCAGGCTATTTTTGTGCGGGGCACATAATTAAGACTTGTTCTCCTGCTAATTCCAAATTTCGCACTCGGGCACAAAGCTCATCCAAAGAAACCTTAAAAGGGGATTGCCATGGTAACGAGTTGGGGGGGTAGAGAGAGAAAGAGAGAGAGAGAGGGAGAGAGGGAGAATTTCCTCCCTTACCATAGATCAAGACTAGACCGCCCACTCGTTCCTTACCTTGTCACAGYGCTCACTGTGCACTGTGTGCACCTTCCTCTTCATGGTTACCTTGGGCTGCACTGGTCCCTCCCTGCTCTCCAGGGTGATGGTACCCTGGGCGAGCACAGCCCCTGCGATTCGCTCCGTTTGCACTGTGCTTCAGGGTCTGCAGAGCTATGTGTTTTGACTACAGCGTTTGGGGAAATAGCATACTTTCTCGGGCAGGCTTTTGACTTGAAGACCTGTCACCTCCTGCTTCTAACTGGGTGGAAGACAGGACAGAATGATACTTCTTAGCCCATTGTAAAAATGCAGGTGGATATTTCATTTCTGTCTCCTACTGTTTTACTTTTCCACACGCTTTTTGGACAGAGTTTCTTTGTGGTGTCCCAGAGGTTTTGTGTCAGTAGAAGCAGTGTACCTCTTCTTAMTCCCTGGGAAGCAGGGATTAAGTTTAATTTTTGAGTTGAAATGCAGTATCAGGATTGCTTTTTGGAGACATTCACCATGAAAATATTTTATTTTGCCTTGACTCTGTCAGGGCCACTATTACAATGGTTGTTGCACTCAGTGCTGTTGTGGAGAAGGCAAGTCTCCTTCTCTAAGGAGAAGGAGCAAGTGAATGCTCTTAGCTGATGATCAGGTCAGGTAGCTTTCACTAAGGMGTGTATGTTTCCCAATTCCCTTCTGTATGCAGTTAGGCCGCTGAGGTCCCGTGGAAGGATACCTAGTGACTTTCTAAAATGGTTCCTGTAGGGTAGTGGTGCACCACRTCTCTCTGGGCGCATTTCCATCCCTTTTCCCTTTCTTCTAGCATGGGACAAGCTTGGGATAATTAGAAAGCATCTGCTGGAGCAACCATCCTTATAGACAGCAGACATCACTTGTCACGGAGTGATGTCAGTTCTAACTTTGCTGTTGGGAAACAGATGCTAATGCTGACTTCAGCCTCCTTAACTTCTTGTGTCTATGAGAACACCATGGATACAAAACACCATAGTGCTTTGACCATCATGCACTGTATTTTTGCCGTTCCGTATCTCTGTATGTTTCAGAAAGGGTTGCCTGTGCCATTGGAGTCGACCTAAGAAACCATGATGATGAAAGGCAGTACAGCTGTAATCTGGTTTGCCATGTAAGCCTGACTTTATGTATCTTCCCAGTTTCTTCTAGTAGGTGAAAGCCGTTTTCAAAGAGTGGTCTGTAGGGTTTTTCCTTTAACCTTTGGATATGAGAAATTTTAATTCTCTTTCCCCATGGTTTGCTGTCAGTAGCATTTCAGTGGGTACCCTAGATCCCAGTCACCTCCTTCCCCTTGAAAACCTTAGCTCTACCTTTGACTAAACTAAAATATTCTAGGTCTTCTGATTCCCCACACAAAAGCAAACAGAGTTTCGAGAAATGGACTTATAGCTATATGAAGGAGATGTACACTTTTAGATGTCTAGATCCAGGTTTCAAATGAAGTTATTGTGTTTTAGATGATAAAAGCATTTGACATTGATAACCAGGGATCTCAGCAGTTACAGGTGATGTCTTGGGTCAACAATATGCTTTTTATTTATTTATTTTTTTTTTTATAAAGCTGCGTGTCCTGATGTTGAGTTTAGGATACATAAGCTAGAGTTGATTTTTCACAACTTCTGATTTGAAACTCTTCCTATCCTTATGTGTAAGAGCGCTGACGTAGAGCCTGTGCTGGATCCAGTCCAGGAAAACCATTCCTTGAGTAGTTTTGCCTTTGGGATGCGGGAGGGAGGAGGCATCTTCTGGGGCACTGGAATGGCAATGGTGGAAGTGGTTCACAAGGTACCAGAAGAGATGGTCTGTGTTCTCTCCAGTYTGCATCTGCTGCACATCTACCTATTCAGCCAGTGTAGTGCTCAAATTTGGTCCATTATTTAAAGTTGTCAGCAACCCTACAGCCGATAGACCTCTGTAATTCTGTGTTGAGATGTTTTATTTTGCTTTTGTGATCATCCTTTAGAACATGAATACATTCCAATATAGGATCCTATGTTCTTCTCTGCAGAGAAGAATTTACTGTGCAGTTGCAGTATGTGTGCACACTTTGGAGGCACGCTTTTTAAAGTATATTTGATGAATATCCAAATACAGATTTTGGTGGTGAGGGTGCAGTAGAATAAGCAGGAAAAGTTCACCCAGCAAAGAACAAGGGAGGCAGAGTTAGTAGGACRTATTTGAAATAACTTGTTTTGTACAAGTAAAGCATTAGTGCTGTTGTGAAGTCAAAAACAACTGGATTCAGTCTAGATCTGAAAAGGCAGGTAAATTCTCTAGTTTTGTTTGGGGAAGAACTTTGTGTGCATGAAACATAATGTTTAGTGAGGTAATTTTAACAATTTGCAGAAGAAAACCTTCTGAAATACCTAGATATATTATAGGTAGGTAGATAGATTATTTACAGAAGGCATAATAAGTATATTCATGGTGTACATCATTTAATAGAGACAATGAAATAACGCGAAGAGCTACTACATCAGTCGCACTGGAAAAATACTGGCATGTGTGAAATGCAAGGCTTAGGGAAGGTGATACAATGTTTATTTGGGAAGCCCTGTCACCTAATGAGAAAGATGTGATTCTTTAAAAACAGCAACAAAGGTAATTGCATGTTGCAGTTGTGGCATAGGATATTTACTTGATAAAAATAAACTCAAGAGCAATTATAAACTGAAGAAGAAAYCTTTTATTTAAGTGTTTGATTCCCATTGCTTCTTGGAAAAAATGACAATGCAAGGTTTTTTTTCTTYTTAATCAGAGATACTGATAGTAAGATCAGAGATGCTACTAAATGGTGAACAACCCAACTGGTTGTCTTTTAATCTCAGAAAGCAATGTTTTTGATTCCTTAGATATTACAAATTTATGTGTAAATRAGGATTATCTCATCCACTTTTTAGTTTTTTTCTTAACACACATAGAAATGTGTGTTCACACACTTCAAGGATGATGATTTGTTCTTGCAGACCTTCTACAATAGCTGTGTAAAGTCAGCTACAGGCTTGAAAGTAGC